TGCACTTAGCAGGCTTGTTGTGAGACCTGTTCTGTATCCAAGGGCTTCAGCCATGTAAGGATGTGTTGGAGCATGCAATAAATACAATACAATATACACAATATTAGAGGAGATACAGTATATCTAACATATGCAACTCAGATACATCCAATCCTAATTAAACATCAAAGAACCGGATACTACAGGTATGTAGATGACATCCTTATAATTTACAACCACAAGAAAACAAACATACATATAACCTTAATATAATTCATTAAACAACAAACTAATACAAAATTCACCGTAGAAAAACAAATAAAAAACTAAATTAATTTCCTGGATCTCATAATCTACTGAGAGAAAACAAAGCCAGGGTTCACAATATATAGAAAACACACACAGACAGGCATCATAGTACTTAACAACTCATGCATCCCACGCGAACATAAAACATTAAGTATTAATTATGTATTAAATAGATTACAAACATATCCAATAACAGAAAAATCAAAAGAAAAAGGACAATATGTCAAAAAATTAGACCACAATAAATAAAACATAAAAGAAATCAGGAAACACCACACATGAACAAAACAAAAACATCAACAACACTAAAACTCAAAATGAGCTACCTTCACATACTCTGAAAAAGAAATGAAGAGAATTTAATTTTAAATCTTTACATTGTTGCATATTGGACAGAAGACAAAACCAAAAATTAATTTTAACTATGAATACCTGGACCATATTTGAACATTTTATGTATGGTTGCAGGGCGATACCCAGCTAACTTTTACTATGGAGGTGGAAGAAGAGCAGTTGAAAATAACAAACAAAATGCCAATATTTACTAATACACTAACACACATACACATTTGCCTTCATATGCCAATCCTTCCACCTTAAAACATGTTACTGAGAGGCATGATTTTTCCACTGTCCTGGACATTTCATGCTTAAATGATTTGCTAGTCTGTAATGAAAGCATCATCAATTCAGATATTTCTTATCTACTAGAAAAAGGTCTCAAAATTAAACATGAGCTAACTTGAAGAAAGCAGTCTTCTGGGATTTGGCATCGTGCATATGTGGTGTTAACCGACGTTTCGGAGGAACGTATCGCCTCCATCTTCAGGGTGGAAGAAAAAATATAAGAAATCTGCAAGCAAAGAGACTGTGAGAATCGGTAAAAGCAGTTTTTACCGATTCTCGCTTGCAGATTTCTTATATTTTTTTCCCACCCTGAAGATGGAGGGGATACATTCCTCCGAAACGTCGGTTAACACCACATATACATGGTGCCAAATCCCAGAAGACTGCTTCCTTCATAGTCACCGCCATGAAAGCCTCAAATCTTATATGAGCTAACTTTTCCAGCAGAAAGAGGAGGGTTTCATTCATTCATTCATTCATTCATTCATTTATTCATTTATTGTATATTCCATAAATCCATATACATAGATACAGAACCAGTCACATAGTTAATATAGTAGAATACAAATATAAATATATATGTACAGTTTATAATCATTAAAATAGATAAAAAAACTAGTGTTAAATTTATATCAAAAAAACAGTCTTACATCACTACACATAAAATTATGCAATATTAAAACTGTTTATGCTATTATCCTTATTTCTAGGCAAATTTGTTACTAAAGAATTCATCACATGTATAAAAAGAGTTTTGCAATAAAAATGTTGTCAACTGAATTTTAAAATTTTTCAAGTCATTAGACACAGATTTGATTTTTGGTGGCAAATGATTAAAGATCTTTACCCCCATGTAACATATTCCTTTTTGGAATTGTGT